ACACACACACACACACACACATACACACACACACACACACACACACACACACACACAAAACACACACTACATTCTTGTCGTCGTTACTGTTGGAGCACAGTGCTCTACCAAACAAAATGCAGGTTGTTTAGAAGGCAGAGTTACATTACATGGTCCATGTTAGGACATGGGACTCACTTGATTAATATCCATGGGAGGATGAGGGAAAAAACTATTCAGACCCCATTCGGATTCGACCCTTAAGCTTCTGCAAAAAAAGCCAAGGTTGCAACACGTTACGCAACATGGGACCTGCCCTAGACGGTTAGTATAAGAACGTATAGGACCCGCCCTAATCAGATAAGATATGTTCTTCCTTACTTCATGAAAGACTTCGAAGCCATGGCCCACATGAACTGCACAAAAACAAACGTATCTTTTCATTAATTTGGATTTAATTAATGCCTCTTTCAGTACTGTGAGGTTCTTTGAAAGGTATAACCTTCAAATTTAACGTCCATATCCGATAGGACCGAAACCAGAACGTGAAGAGCCTAGAAAATGTATGTCCTAAATAGCCCAAGTAAGATACCCCCCGATTGCAGATTTTAAAGAATGGCTACATAAATTCCCGCCTCCTAAATGATCTAAAGAGTGTCCATGGGAGTAAAACATTTCTACAATTACATTCAATTCCTTGTACATGTACCTAGCTTGATATCAACAGAAATAACGGCGACCCTGAGACCAGATTTGACAGGGACAGAATAAGATAAAATAACATAATAAAGGTGGACGGTAAACCACACCAGACACCTGCTTGCCGCCTGCACAGACTCTGCAGAATTTGTTAATAAGTAGGTGTTTTTACACCCCAATCGACACCATCATTCGACAATTCAGGAGTCAGGCCTCGTCCCAGCCTGTCAGAGCCGACAGAGAGGGATACAATGACCAAGCAGTAATACAGATCAGATACTCGATTTTTTTTAAAAAACAACGTTCTCCACATGGGAATCGAACTCGGGTCTTCTACATACGACACCGAAGTATCTAACTACTACACCACCGTCCGCCCAGACTTTAGAAAGCCATCAACTTCGACAAACACCAACAATCCCAGCCCC